GGCTCGGCCGGCAGGGGAGGCCCAGAGAGCCCGAGCGCCCGGCTCGCTCACCAGGGCCAGCTCCGGGTCGGCACTGGGGTCCACGCCGAACTCGAAGTCACTGGCCCCGAGACCCAACATGGCCCCGCCTTCGCCAGCCAGAATAGGGGAGCTGATGAGGGCATCGGCCAGGCTGGGCCCCGGCGGCACGGTCACCAGGTGCGAGCCCGTCCCGTCCTTGCCGTTCAGCGTGTTCACGAAGGCCGTCAGCTTCTCCGTGTTCACCTCCTGGGGGCAAGCGCGGGAGGGCCCGTCAGTCCGTGTTCCCGCTTCGGCTCCGCTCGGCCTGCAGCTGCCCCCCGCCACCCGCGCAGGGGCCACCCCCAGAGGGCTGCTGCCAGCTTACCTCCTCCCCAAAATTGATAATGTCCACGTTGACCTTCTCCTTCTTGAGGCGCTTAGCCAGTTTCACCAGCTGGTCAGAGGGGAAATGTGGACACCTGTTAGCAAACCGAGGGGCCGACGCGCCCCACAAAGGCGCACGAGGTCAGCCGCCCCCCCCCCACGGCATGCAACCCCGCTCCCGGCGCCCCCCAGCTCCCGCCGCCCCCCCGCGGCTCACGTCCTTCTCGCTGTCCTCCACGGGGCTGCCCACGAAAGCCACGATCCGCATCTTGTGGTTCTTTCCCTGCCGGTGCTTCAGGGCCAGCTGCGCGGGAAGGGGCCTCAGCCGCGGCCAGCGCACTGCCCGTCCCGGGCCCGCCGGCCCAAGTCCACGCCACAGCGCCCACGTCCCTCCCCCCCGTCGTGCGGGGTTCACCCAACCCCCCAGGTTTCTGCTGCGCCCGGCACTGCCAGAAGAGGGGGGCTCAGCAGGGGCCCGTCCGTGCAGAGCTGGGAACACGGACGGGCCCCTCGGTGCGAGGACCCGGGGATGGGCGCGTGACGTGGACAGGCACCCGGCTAGGGAGGCGCGAGGGGCTCACGTGGGCCACGCGGATGCCGGTGCAGAAGGTGATCTTGCCCTTGGGCTGGACCGTGTGCAGCTTGGACAGGATGCGGCCGGTGTCGGGGGTGAGCGTGGTCAGCACCTCGCAGTCACTGGGGCGCGGGGGAAGCATCTCAGTGGCTCGGGGTGCGGACAAGGGCCCTGCCTGTGCTGAACCCCCACCCCGGAGCCCGCCACAGGTGCTCGTCCTGGGACAGTGCGTGGACAAGGTCAACACCGGGGCTGCGCCGGGCGACTGGCACCAGCGCCCGCCCGCGTGCCCATCACCCTGAGCCCGCCGTGGCCAGAGCCAGGCCGCAGAGCTCGAGGGGCTGAGCAGACCCCGCGCCCGCGCCTTCCCCACAGAGCCGGACACCCCGACGCCCCACCTTTGGACCCGCTCCCAGCTGAGGCGCACAGCGTCCACACAAGGTGTCGGCTGACGCAGATCTCGCGGGCACTCGCCAAGGGCGCGCCCCCGCGTGTAGCCACCCTAAGGGCCACGGTCCCCAAGGCCCAGCTGGCGCGGAGGGCAGGCCTGTGGGAGCCAGAGCTGCACCCCCCTCGAGCCTGACCGGCAGGCCGGCGGCCACGGCATGCACCCCGGGGCCCGAGCCAGAGCCGCAGGGCGCTGCAAGGCCGCAGCGGATTTAAGCGCCGGACGCGGAGGCCAGCGGGGGCCAACGCCGGTGCCCTCAGTCACTCCGAGGAGCACAGAAGCGGCCTGGGAGGGGCGGCACAGCGGCCTTCCGGAGCCCGGAGGGGGGCGCCCGCCAGCCTCCACCCGCTGCCCACCCCCCTGCCCGCGTACTTGGCCAGTGTGATGAGGCCCACGTTGTTCTCCGGGTTGCTCCGGGTCTTGGAGTGACAGACGATGTTGACCGCGTCCTGCTGGGCCTGCAGCCGGGTGGGCAGGAAGTCCCCGTTGCGCATGTACTCACTGTTGTCCACACTGGCGTGAAGGAGGGAGACGCGCTGTAGGGCCTCCCGGGCGGGCCCGCCCCTTCCTCCCCGGGGGAAGCTACGCAACGCACAGGTGACCGGGCCTGGCCCGCCTGGCTCACGCGAAGTGACCGCAGGAGGAGAGGCCAGTGTGCATTCATTTCCGCCACCCGCTGACCAGCCCCAAGGCACGGCCACCTGCGCGGCCACGAGCTAAGCGCCACGCGGAACCACGGAAGGAGGCGCACGCCCAGCCG